TTTCTCACTCTCTCTCAAGCATCACAATACAGGAAACTTGTGTATTGGATCCCTTGCTACAGAGGCACCCTTGATAATCCAGCCTTGGTTAGTTGTTGTTGTCGTTGTTAACGTTGTGAACTGCCCCAAGTTGACTTTGACTTATGGCAACGCTATGAATGACGCATCTCCTAGACCTCCTATCCTTGCCACTCTGCTCAGGTCCTGCAGGTTTGGTCAGTGACCTCCCTGACCGAGTATAACCATCTGACCTGCGGTCTTCCTCACTTTCTACTACCTTCTACTTTTCCTAGCATTATTGTCTTTTCGAGTGAATCTTGCCTTCTCATGAAGGTTTGAAAGGGATCTAGGAGTCCAGGTGGACCACAAGTTGAACATGAGTCAACAGTGTGATGCCGCAGCTAAAAAGGCCAATGTGATTCTAGGCTGCATCAATGGAAGTATAGTGTCTAGATTAAGGGAAGTAATAGTGCCACTCTATTCTGCTTTGGTCAGGCCTCACCTGGAATAATCCTGTGTCCAGTTCTGGGCATCACAATTCAAAAAGGATGTGGAGAAACTGGAGTGTGTCCAAAGGAGGGCAACTAAAATGGTGAAGGGTCTGGAAACAACTGATGAAGAAGCTCCTGGAGCTTTGAAAGCTTGCCTTATGTATTTTGTGCATTTTGGTTGGCTCATAAAGGTATCCCTGGAAGTTCTTGGACTCTGCCGTATGACCGATGCGGCTGCTTCTTGGTGTTGCTGTTTGCCTTCAAGTTGTTTCCGACTTTATGGTGACTCTAAGGTTGGGTTTTCTTGGCAAGGTTTCTTCAGAGGAGGTTTGCCATTGCCATCTTCTGGAGCCGAGAGAGTGTGACTTGCCCAAGGACACCCAGTGGGTTTCCATGGCTGAGCCAGGACTCGAATCCAGTTCTCCAGAGCCATAGTCCATCGCTGAAACCACGACACTGGTCAACATGTGTACCCATGGATATGTAGTAACTCCTAACTAAAGGGAGAAGCCAAAGTGGTTTGAGTGTTGGACAACAACTCTGGAGACCAGGGTTTGATCCCTGCTTGGCCATGAAACCCACTGGGTGACCTTGGGCAAGTCACACTCTCTCAGCCTCAGAAGGAGGCAATGGCAAACCACCTCTGAAGCAATCTTGCCAAGAAAACCCTGTGACAGGGTCTCCATAAGCTGGAAAAGACGTGAAGGCGCCCAACAACAAAAGGGGAGAAGTGACACTGGGGCAAGTGACACTCTCTCAGCCTCAGGGGAAGAAGGCCAGGGTAAACCTCCTCTGAAGAAATCTTGCAAAA